ATATTTTAAAAAATATATATTTACTATATTTTTTGATTAATTTTTTATATTATAATTTTTTATATATTTTTAATATATATATATATATATAATATTATATATTTAAAAATTTATATTTATAAATTTTTATATATAATATTTATATATATATATATATATATATATATATATAAATAAAATATATATATATATTATTTTATATATTTACAATATATATTATATAATATTTATATAATATAATATAAAAATTATATATATATATATATTATATAATTAAATTTAATTTATATTTATATATAATAATTTAAATATAAAAAAAAATTATAAATAAACTTAATTAATAATTTTAAATTTTTAATAAATTTATTTATTATATAAATATATTAAAATTTTATATTTTTAAATATATAATATATAATATATATATATATTTTTATAATTTAATATATAATATATAATATATTATATATTTATATAAAATATATATTTATTAAAATTATATATATATAATATAATATATTTATAATTATTACGCACTTTGCGTTTAATTACGAGCTTTGTGTTATGTAGCTTATTTTTTAATAATAACACTAAAAAATACTTTTGGTCCTTTGAAAAACACAATTGCCACACAGATTGGCCAGATTAGCCTGGTGGTCAGCACGGTGTGGTACTGTTTGGCTACGCAATTATTTCTTTAAAAAACAATTTTTGTCAGGCTGACATGGGGGGGGGGGGAAAAAGGGGGCAGAACTTTATATAGGAAATTTCTATAATTGCAGATTATTTTTTTCGGCGCAGGACGAAGTGAGCACCGTGTTGTGGCTTTATTCAGATAAAAAATTTTAGGTTAAACTTTTTTAAAATTATTCTGTTGTAACCCAGTATTAAATTATTTTTGTTAATAGCTTTTGTATTCATTTATGTATACACACACACACACCACCACCACACACACACAACGAAACCCCAAACTCACACCACACGCACACACGACACACACACGCACACACTACACACATAATGTGACGTAAAAAACTGCCTTCCGAGACCGACTTTTTGGTAATTGAACGCCCTCTATTTAAGAGTTTTTAAAGGAAACGTATCGCGCGTGTGGCTTCGTCGTAAAGTGTGGCGAAACGTTTCTTTAATTTAAATCTTGAGGGGGTCACAGTGTGTCTTATACCTGCAGTCCGTAGCCAGACAACGCCCGTAAACAGTGAAAAATCACTGTTGTTTTCCAAAACAACGCAGAAAAACAATATTTTTCGAATTTTTTTTACGTTTACTGCGCTTTTAAAATTTTTTTTTTTTTAAAACCAATGGAAAGGGGGAGTTTTCGCGGGGGCCCAAATGTGGCAAAGCTCCCGGGCGGTTTCCCTTTGCTACGGGGCTAGGTGGATGATTTATAAGTGACGTTTTGAATCGAAATTTTTTGCGTACAATAGCAATAAAGCATTAGGGGTATGGCTGTGTTTACGGAAAAAATGCTATTTGGGTTTGGGTAAAAATTTAAACTGCGTTATTTTTTTGTCGTGGTAAAGGAAATCTGTTATGGGCACTTAATACGATTACCTAAAAAATTTCAGGGGCCCCACCCGTACCCTGGTACTGAGAGCTGCAACACTCAAAATTCCTTTTTCAGAAAACGTTATTTGATTTTTAGGGGGGAGACTGCTCCTACCCCAGAGTACCCACCTATCTACAGTAAATAATAAAAAAGTTTATTTAGGATACACGATACGTTACATAAATTTAAGTCATAGCATATGTGTAGAAACCCAGGATAACTTTTACCTCCACTTACTATTATCTCTCTACCCGCTTACATGCCACTCGTACGTACCTACCTACTTGTCTACCTACCTGGCTACTTACCCACCTACTTACCTACCTACCTACCTTCGTAATTAATTTTTAACTTTCATTAGTTTTTTTTATGTGAATTATGTAAATTTACAAGGATAACCTAGTATAGACAGTGTAAATTTTTGCCACAAGGGTCCCTAAATCGTATGTTTAATTTTCTGATATTTTTTATAGTTATAAATAGATCCCTTCTTATTATTTAACCTTAGTGATAGCAATAAAAATCAATCTAAAAAAGTGAATAGACTGAGTCAAAAAAATATGACTCTTTTTGCCAATATAAGAAATCACTCTCGTTCCTCTCTCTGATTTCTTGTACTAGATATTCTTGGCCCTCATCTTCAGCTGTATTATACCAAGACTTGACCATTATGTTATTGGTATTCACTACCAGCACGTATAGGTATTTAATGCGAGATATTTTGCTTGTGCTACAGGTTTCTTCAGGCAAATACTTTGGTAACTTAGGTAACTGGAGAGAGTTACCACTGCATTTGGTTGATATTATGTAACCCATTTTCAACTGCCTACTTCGTAACTACCTACCTTCCTAATTACGTACTTTATTTTTCCCTTCCTAACTACCTACCTTCCTAGCTACCTACTTTTCTAACTACGTACCTATATTTCTCCCTGCCTTTTTAACTACGTACTTATATTTCTCCCTAGCTTTCTAACTACGTACCTATATTTCTCCCTGCCTCCCTAGCTACATACTTTTTAACAACCTACTCCTCCCTATACACGCAGACACGTACATACAGTCTCCTGCATCACAATGGAAACAAATCTCGATGTATTAGGTTATCCTAGGCACAATCTACATAATGTACTCTTTATGGTACCTACAACATCCATATGCCCCCGGAACCACTGTACAAATTTACTGTGTGTAAAATCCTTTGTAGATTTCCTAAATAAAGATTATCACTCTTACTCTTTCTTACACTTTCAAAACTCGCCGGTTCCCCACACTAGAAATATAAAGTTCATATTAGTTGACACATTAGCGATTAAAGAAACTTGGTTTCATTTCTGAGATCAAAGACACGGTACACAAGCTACCTTTTCCTCATCTAATATCCAAAAGTTGCAGTTTTAACCCTTGTCAACACAACGAGGAAACAACAGCCACTTGACCTTTTCCTGGAGAGGAATTCAGAGAGCTGTATATTAACGGATGACTTTGAGAGCCTGCCATTATGACAGCTAAAGCAGAGATGAAAGGAAGAGGGTCAGACATGAGTACTCTCAGAGAAAAAAATCTAAACAGTAAGGGTCCGTGGGAGGGAAGAGAATGGAGAGAGGGAGGGAGGAGGGACTGAGAGGACAGATAAACAGATCATAGGAGGAAGGGAGGGAGAGATGCCGGGGAGGTTAGGCAAGCAGGTGGAAAGGAAATTGAGAAAGCAATTCGAGTAGTGGTAGAAAATGTGAGGGTGCTGCATTAAATTTAAGTGAAGTGTGTTGGACAAAATGAGGTGCGAGTCGAAGGAATAAGCCAGCAAATGGACAAGTAATAAAATGAAGGTTTTGACGAAACATTAAATGAAAGGGTTAGATTCAAATTGGATAAACAAAAGGCCTAGGAATTAGGCCCAAAATGGTTTAACGGGAGAACATCTCGTTATTAATTCATCATTTATATTTATTGAATATTAAGCTAGCTTAAATGTCTGGTATCATAATCATATTAATAAGATACTTCGACATTCCACTTATATTCCTCAATAAGTGGATCACTCATACACTTAGTTTTCAAGAAAGTGATCACAAGACTGATCACATTACATTTAGTATGGTCATCGTACGGCCAAACGGCCAGAAGTACGTGCAACTAAGACTAATCTTGGCTACACAACACCAACTTTCCGTTATATTCAGCTGTTCCGTACGTAATTTGCAAAGTAGAAAGTAACCACGGGAAATGAAAACACAGAAACTCATTTTTGTAACACAATCCAAAAGTTTCTTATATTTTCTTTGATTAGAAAAGGATGAAACTAGAAAGGAGATAACACAGCGACACGGGGAGACCACTAAATCACGGTACTTAAAGGAAAAAGCAAGAAATAACCTATGTAACAAAATTCCAAAGTTTTAATATTTTCTTTGATTAGAAAAGGCAGGCAGAAACGAATGAAAGGAGATAAACACACGCAACGTAGGGAGCCCCCCTGCTGGTGAATGATGATAAGCAACAGTTCTTAATTAGGAAAAGAGCAGGAGCAAAGAAGAGTAAGAACAAGGACTTGAGTATCAATAAGAACAGTTGCTGGAAGTATACGGCGACGGTCCTTGGGGAATGACTGGAGTAAGGGATACAGGATCCTGGGGTGAGATGAGAAGACGATTTGTGGTAATGACGGTAAGAAGACTGATGAAGTAGGGGATACAGGATCCCTTGTGGTGAATGACTGGAGTAAGGGATACAGGGATCTCTGCGTGGTGAATGACTGGAGTAAGGGATACAGGGATCTCTGCGTGATGAATGACTGGAGTAAGAGATTCAGGGATCTCTGCGTGGTGAATGACTGGAGTAAGGGATACAGGGATCCCTGTGTGGTGAATGACTGGAGTAAGGGATACAGGGATCCCTGTGTGGTGAATGACTGGAGTAAGGGATACAGGGATCCCTGTGTGGTGAATGACTGGAGTAAGGGATACAGGGATCTCTGTGTGTGAATGACTGGAGTAAGGGACACAGGGACTTCTGTATAATGAAGAGCTGACTGAAGTAAAGAATAAAGGAACTGCTTTACTATCAGGAAGGGCTAGAATAAAGAAGAAAGTGGCTTCTGTGTAACCTGTGCAATTCCCTTACAAAAACTGAAAAAAAAATAATAGAAAATATCAAATTAAACACTTAAAATAATCAAAAATAATCTAGCGTATGTGGAATTCCTGCCAACTATTTGCCTTAACTATTTCCTTTCACTTACATTTTATTTGTAAAGTTCTGATTAAACTTATAAAACAAAATTCTTCTGAATCCAGCAGTTTCACAACTATTTTCTTGTATTTACATTTTATTGTTAAAGTACCGAATAAACTCATAAAAAAATTAGTTACTCTCACAGTTTTCTTCCCGCCATCCTATCTGATGCGAGACACTGGTCGTTGTTTTGTAGGAGCTGGAGAGTGTGTACCTGGACGTGAGTGGCATCGTGGGTGACTGTATCCTCAAGGGCGCCGACATCGTCGCTGCTAAGGTCAGTCTCATATCCTGTCATTTACTGGGGGTTTTAATTAAAGAAATGTTATCTCTCTTGGTACGGAAGATTTAACATCAATCAGACTTTGGAAAATTGATGTAATGGCTTCATTAATAAAATAATTAGAGGAAAATATATCTAAGCAAGTATTTTTTTCCAGAGAATATCTTAGTGTGGAGAAAGTGATAGAAGGGATATAAAAAGGAGGAGCAATAGATGAAAGATCAATATTTCGAAGATAACTAAATTTAGAAAATGTGATTTAGAAATGGTTGTAATATAAGTTAAAAATCGTGTGTACTTCATTCTTTCATTGATGAATAGTATAAATAATAATTTACATAGTATTTATGTAGTTAAAAAATGAAGAGCTTATTAAAGCACGCGCACACACACTCACATAGTGAAGAGGCGGGGCCAGGAGCTGATCCGTCCCTGCACCACAAAAGTAGGTGAGCGCACACACACACACAAAACACACACACACACACACCACACACACACACACACACACACACACACACACACACACACACACAAACTAAGACTGCACATCCATTGAAACAGAAACGAGAAAAAACAGAAACATACCACATAAATATAGTTTGATACAAAATATTAAATGTCAGACATTGAAAAGGATTGAGATCCTATGACAAACTGTCAAATCATATAAATGAAGCTTAGAGAAGAGTCTCTTGTGTTACTCTGGTGGTGACAAGGGTCGGGCAGCCTTAATGACCCTTGATGAGACATGTGCGACATCTTCATTCCGAAACGTTTCGCCTACACAGTAGGCTTCTTCAGTCGAGTACAGACAAGTTGGCAGAAACAGTAGAGATGTGAAGACGATGTAATCAGTCCGTTACCCTTGAAGACGTAGGTTTGAGGTGGTCAGTCCCTTAGCCTGGAGAAAAGTTTTGTACCCTAGCCTGAAACAATGTGAAGGAGAGGTATAGAAGAATGTATTCTTCTCGAATAAAAAGGTCTACTGTTTAAGAGAAACGTTTCGGAATAAAGATGTTTAACTGTAGCACGTGTCTGACCAACCTGTCGGTGTTATGCACCATTTTATGAATGACCCTTGTGTAGTCGATAGGTTTTAAACCTCTATAATCAACTATAAGCGTCCTTTAAATATATAGATAAGAAAGTTCTGAACAACAAAGAAAGTTCTGAACAACAAAGAAAGTTCTAAACAACAAAGAAAGTTTTGAACAACAAAGAAAGTTCTGAACAACAAAGAAAGTTTTGAACAAAGAAAGTTCTGAACAAAGAAAGTTCTGAACAACAAAGAAAGTTCTGAACAACAAAGAAAGTTCTGAACAACAAAGAAAGTTCTGAACAACAAAGAAAGTTTTGAACAACAAAGAAAGTTTTGAACAACAAAGAAAGTTCTGAACAACAAAGAAAGTTTTGAACAACAAAGAAAGTTTTGAACAACAAAGAAAGTTCTGAACAACAAAGAAAGTTTTGAACAACAAAGAAAGTTTTGAACAACAAAGAAAGTTCTGAACAACAAAGAAAGTTTTGAACAACAAAGAAAGTTCTGAACAACAAAGAAAGTTCTGAACAACAAAGAAAGTTCTGAACAACAAAGAAAGTTTGAACAACAAAGAAAGTTTTGAACAACAAAGAAAGTTTCTGAACAACAAAGAAAGTTTTGAACAACAAAGAAAGTTTTGAACAACAAAGAAAGTTCTGAACAACAAAGAAAGTTTTGAACAACAAAGAAAGTTTTGAACAACAAAGAAAGTTCTGAACAACAAAGAAAGTTCTGAACAACAAAGAAAGTTCTGAACAACAAAGAAAGTTCTGAACAACAAAGAAAGTTCTGAACAACAAAGAAAGTTTTGAACAACAAAGAAAGTTTTGAACAACAAAGAAAGTTTTGAACAAAGAAAGTTTTGAACAACAAAGAAAGTTTTGAACAACAAAGAAAGTTTTGAACAACAAAGAAAGTTCTGAACAAAGAAAGTTCTGAACAACAAAGAAAGTTCTGAACAACAAAGAAACTTCTGAACAACAAAGAAAGTTCTGAACAACAAAGAAAGTTCTGAACAACAAAGAAAGTTCTGAACAACAAAGAAAGTGTAGCAGTACCCAGGGTGTGGCTGATGAGGTTTTGTCCGTCAGGAAACTGACGCTCGATGATGGAGTTACCGTCGTACCTGTCCAAAGTGTCTGTGATTAAAATACAGCAGAGAGAAACCTTTATTAGTGCGACTTTTCACCCGCTTCAGGCTTTTTCCGTGTAGGTGAAACGTCGTACGAAGAAACGTTTGGTTTTTGTTGCTTTTGTTGTCCACTAAGCCAAACTTCAACTTTCAACACGACCGCTGGTTTACCCATGCCTGCTGTATGCCTGTGGCTAAGCATTCGCTGTGTGTTGTATGACCCATACAGGTTTGCCACTTGCCTGCTTCCATAATAATAGCAGGTATCCGCTAGCGCAACAATATTACAAAGATTCCTGCCCCAGTTAGAAAACAGAGAGGCGCATCATTTGTCCAGTACGGTAAGGACATATACACTAGATAAAGAAAAGCGTTGAAACTAAGCCCAATTACTTTTACCAAGAGCAAACTAGTGTATTCAGTTTTTTATACGTTATTACAGCTAAAGTGCATTTGTTCATTATTTGCTCCATTAGCAAAAACGTTTCTGTATATATAGATTTATATATATACTCTATATCAGTAAATAGATGGTTAGGCACCTGTGCTTAAGAGATTGTACTTTCCTAATTGTTAACGTTAGCCAGAAGCCAAATGCACTTTTAGCTAAGCCTTAGAAAGGCTAGCACAACTGTTAAATCTCTTCGCATGACAAGCTAGTCTCTAAGTATAATTTTTAAGCTCGTGTATTAGTGATTTATTGAGCCCCTTATACTCTTAATTCATTATTTTACTTGACCCACAGACCAGGGTTATATTAGACTGCTTCCTTCAAAGCAATTTTTTTGGGGGGAGGGGGGACTAATTTATTAACCTTATGCAGATAATGGGTTAGTGCGAGAAGAGATCTGTAGGAAGTGTAAATTAATTCCGTTTTCTATTAATATTTACAAAGCTATACCTGGTTTATATAGTCATTCCTGGTATACATGGCTTGGTCTTTTTTTCCAGCAATGTTAGTCATTATGAGAGTCGAGTGAATGGACACTGACGGCAGTAATTAAAAGAAAGTCAAGCTAATTGCTATAAATTAACTTGTGTGTCATTAGGATGATCTAGAGGGTTTTTTTCAGCTCTATCGGAGAAAGTGGCAGCAGGAGCAGGTTCAGCCCAACCAGGTGGCAAGTGTAATAATACATACAGTAATAATTTTTATTTCTAGCTGACATCAATGACATACTACTGTATAGAAAGCCGCTTGTTATGTAGAGCATTTCGGGTAAATTAGGTCACTTTTGTCCCCAGGATACGATCCACACTGGTCGATTAACACCCAGGCACCTATTTTACTGATAGGTGAACGTGGGCAGTAGGTGCCTTAAGGAAACACATCCTAACGTTTTCACCCGTGACGAGGATCGACCCCCGGTCCTCAGTGTGTGATCTGAGTGCGCTAGCAGTCAAGCTACGGGACACCCAAATGTGTGTACGTGTGTATAATTTAATATACGCTGACTGACAGACTAGAGATTTCGTCTTGACTTTGTTTTGGTGGTCAATTTTATCAATGAATTATTTTGCTTTTTTGTGTGGGTATTTCAGGTGAAAAATGATCTGAATTATTATTTTAATGGGAAGATGAATAACCGGAAGAGTCATACAGCTCTTCAAGAACGAGAGATAATCAGGTTTTGTCTGGGGAAAGGGAGAGTAGCCTCCCCTTGAAGGTACTGACAGAAAGAAGTTACTGATAAGAGATATTTATTGTGTTGTGCCTGCTGTTGGAATAGGACCAGTTTGGCCCGACCATGTGATTTGTTCCTAGCCCACACGGCGTTATTTCTTAACCTTTTTTCTTTTTCTTTTTTTTGGGTCATGTCGGCTTTTAGATACGCATTAGCTAACACTGATAGTAAGCTAGTGTATTGAGTACTTGTTGACGTGCTGCCTCATACCTTCCTTCATAAAATTATTAACGCAGCTTACAAGGTCCCTGAAGTCGTGACTAAAGAATCTTTCTTATCAATCTGAGCATCGGCGGGTGACTACAATACTTCGATACTACACCTGCCTACCTGTAAGAGACCCCCTCTAAGCTGGACAGAATATGACTGTTGGGAATGCGCTCCGGGTGCACCAGGTTCAGACCAACACCTGGAAGACTGGCTGCTATGCGTCAATAAAGAGGAGTACATCTGGCCTGGCTGCAGGACTTGTTTACCCCATACCTTGATTTTTGTTGTTGTCTAATAATCGGTCACAGATTTGTTCATTTGTGCTGGCCAGGTACATATGTGTCGACTTTCTGAATGTGCTGGTCAATTTGCTTCAGATTGCCCAACCCGTCTGGAGATGCTTTGAACTGTTGCCGGAGAGTTCATACGCTTCAGCTTTGTCTTCTTCTCCCCCCCTCCCTCCCCTCTTCAATTCCCTTTTCCCTTTTCTTGAGCCGCGGCCGCAAAGGACCCCGGTTTTCCCCCGTCTGGTGACCCTGTGCCTTCTCTACAGGTATGCGAGTGTCCGAGCCCTGACCCCACTACTGAGTTGCTAACGGACGGAGAGGTGACACCTGTGATGGAGGCCGACTTGGGTGAGTGTGCGCGGGCTGCTGAATCTTTATTCTTGAGTGCTGTGCCAGTGTTGGAGCTGCTGTTTCCCCCTGAGGGCAGCAGGCAGACTCCTTAACATGACTGCAAGTTGCATAGTCTATCCAAACGCTGCACCTGTGCATTTGACATGCATGGACTCCTGTACATTGCTCGTTTCCGCTCGCCTCGGTGAGCCCGTCCTCAGTGCTGCACCTCTTCGTTGGGCAACACGTTTCTATGATAAACGGAAATGGGGTAATATGCTGAGTTTATATCACTTCCTCGCTAAGTG